TATACAATTGATTCATAATTTTTTTTTTGGAATCTAAAATGTAAGAAATAAAATAAGAAATAAAAAATTACATATCATAAAAAATATATATTTAATTATATTATATAATATTAAATTATTTTTAAAAAATACAAAACCAAGTGCTGGAAAAAAACTCAATGATGATCAACTTTAGGATTATAGAAGAATATCTATATATATATATATATATATATAGATATATGTAATTAGATATTCTATTCTATCTCTATGTTTTAATTATATTATATAATTATTTATGCATTAAAGCATTTGTAAGAAATTTTAATATTTATTTTAAAGAATTTTTAAATTAAATATTTATAATTATATTCCTTCTAAAAATAATTTTTTTTAGTTAGTTATAAAAAAAATACCATGTTTATAACATATTAATTTAAATAATGACATATATAATTTTTATTTCAAATAATTTTTATTTATTTTATCCACCATTATTTGTAAATATAATATAGTTACTATTAATTGTCAAAATTCTAAAGTAATTCACAAGTATTTTTAAAATATTTTTAAAAACCTCATGTCAAGTGTATAATCATATATATATATATATATATATATATATATGATTTATAAAGAAAATTTAGGTTTTATATACCTTATATGTAATAAAAATATTTTTAGTCATATGATCAAATGTCATTATCAATAATGTCCATACCTTTTAAGAATTTTTATTTGTTATTAGATGGATAAATTCCATTATTGGTTTCTACACTATCATCACCTTTATGCAACAAAAAATTTGAAATGTTGATATTTTATTTGCATCATAAAAATTGAACAAATAATACTATATACAATAAATAAATTAATAAGATTTTTTACAATATTACAAAATGAGTAAACATTTTTGCGTTTGAAGAAAATATATATATATGTATATATATATATATATATATATATATTTGTACAAATACATATGTGTGTATACATATATATAGTAAGTAGTAGAAATAATAAATTAAATTAATTAATAAGTATAAGAAAATATTTTTTATTTAATATTGATATGTGCAATCATTTAAATCTTTTTAGGAAATCATATTATAGAAGAATTTTTTGTAATAAGCTACAATATTAGAATGCTTCTTGTGGTTAATGTGGAAAAATATAAGTGAAGTTAGAACCGTTGACATGTGATTCTTTGAGATTAGTAATAAATAAATTATTTTTTATTTCTTTTTATATTTATAGATTTTTTTTCAATGAGTGTAAATTAATATTGCTTGATATTCCACATAGGCATTACAAATGTAAAGTCTAGATTTTGAAGTAATTAAGTTTAATGCAAACAAAAAGAACTAGTATAGAATCAAATTTGCTTCACTAGCTAGTATCTACATTCAAAAGACATAATAAACCACTTACATGACACATGTGTGTTTAATATATATTATCTTATATATTTATTTCCACTATTGTATAATATTTAAAAATAACTCATTCTTTAAATCTCCAAAAATGCTAATATATATTATAAAATTTAATAGAAAATTGATATGTAAACAACTACCTCACATAGTTAATTATCAAATGCATATCATTCTACATTTACAATTCTAGATAAATTGTTAAATATATATATATATATATATATATATATGTATATATATATAGCCTAAATTCTTTCTTGTTTAATGTAACATATTAAGATATATTCACATGTATAAGTATATTTATTGTCAGTTGCAATGCTCTAAAATCAATCATAGAATACCAAAAACTAATATTATTCGAAAAAATCCCTTAATGAATACTTCTCTAATTTAACGACACACAACAATTCACAACCACCCACATTACTACATGACCAATAATCCACAGATCGACATTCACAATCACATAGACTACTTGCTTGCTAAAATGACCTCAATACAACTTCATTTTAAACCAAATTGCACACCAAAGCACTTGACAAATCTTTAACCCTACAACATATACATTGCGAATATTATTCCTATTGCAACACATTTTTAATTGAATTTGATCCTCCACCCACACAAACAGTTTGGCACATGCATACATGGTGGATAATAAACAGCCCCTCATCTTCGCAACATGTAACACCTTCTGCGACATATTCGCTTCCACCAATGGATCACAATTCTAAGGAGTCAAAACCACAGTGATTGACCATCACATAATAGAGTCTTGCGTTATTTATATCCAAAATACTTCTCCTACCCATCCTTTTACTCTGATTCCTACAAAAGTATTGATTCCACGACCAGAGTTGGAGAGGAACACTGCTGCTGCTGTGACATTACCCGAGTAAAGGTACCCAGCTAAAGCATTGGCTTTTCTCATGTCTTGTACGAGTTCTGTAAAATACTCAGATGAAATTGTTGTGCTGAGATGTCGGTAATACTCAAGGTCTGTCAGGTGCTGATAATTTTGTTTTGAGAATTTTTATTCCAGAAGCGAAGGACCAAACTTAACTTAGCACTAAATAGTAATCCTTCAGGATAACTATCCATTTAGTGCACATCTCTGAGGTCGATGACAATATGGTGGAGCTACACAATGTGCAAATTTGCAGCACAGGCAAAACTACGCTACACAACCTTCAGAGTCAAGAAGCCAATGTTCATTCTTGTCAGCTCATCCATATTCATCGTTAGCTTGCTACATCCACTCAAGTGCAATCCAGTTCGCTCTACCATTTTCTGACCCTAGAACTTTCCCCGGACAAGAACCTCCATGTTGTTTTATACCATCTCCTCGACCTATTGTGCCTCCTCACTGTAGTCTCTCGTCATCTTCCACCCGTCTTTTTTCGCAACCCATTCAATTAGGCTTCTGGTCTCCGACATCTTCCAAACCTTTTGGTTTGACTGATCGTCAGCCTCCTTTTTGCTTTCTCTCAGAAATCTAGAAATCACAGTTGATGCTGGTGAGCATGATGCAAGAATGCAGTCATCAGAGTTCTATATCCACCACAAGTCACGCACACAATAACAAATTTAAAATTTTCTGCAATTCTGCCAATGCAGAAACATTTTCAAGAACGAACTCTCCATCTCCAATGACAAGAACGTGCTTTGCATAGCTTGTAAGGCCAAATAAACTTAGTCCGCGCTCCAAAACACATCACGACTCAAGTGCAGGCACTGCCACGAGAAAGATCAGAACCAACCTAGTCCAAGAGCTATCCTCCAACCTTTAGGCAGTCATTTGTAATCTCAATGCCGCTGAAGTTCAAATATAAGTTTAACTCCACACCAAAGATACCCCGTCTTCGCATTGGCTCTTACCACCCACATCTCCTGAACGAAATTGCTCACAGTCGGCAAACCAGTTCATTACACCAATTCAACTCAATATGGTCCTATAAAAACACCCTGGGGAACCATCCAAACTTGCTGTCTGCAGACCATTCGGATCTATGTTATACATGGACCGATCTCCTCGACCAAGACTGCTGTTCAGCGCTTCTAATCGAAGTTACTGTCGCCCAAATTGAGCCAACGGGAAAATGTAACCCTGTAAGATAAACATTCCTGGCGATAAACTTTTGAAGAGCAGTGTTTGTTCAAGGATCTTTGATGTGCGCAAGTCAAAGCAAGTTTTCCATAGTCGATGATTGCAAGGTATTGCAAACACGTGCTGGATCTGTTTCTTTCCATCTTTAGACACGGCACGGGCACGGGATTCACCAACTTACAACAGCGATGAATACAAGTTCCTAAAGAAGTGAAATATCAAGTGCAGCTGTTGACACACTTTCTGTGGGCATCTTCGCAACTGCTATTGCGTACTCCACCACTGGCTAAATCTGCTCAAGGGCAGCAACACTATTAACTTGTGGAACTGTGAAATACGCCTGAATACAAACGGAATGATTTAGATCGAACTCAAGCGCTGTCGCAGAAGATGCTTCCTAGATTAAAATTTTGAAACTCTTTTCACGATGGAGGTTGGTGGCAAGCTTGAAAAAGCTCCCATACATCATTGTTTATGTTTTGACTATTATTGACGAGTGTTATTATAAGATTTACGTAACAGAGTCAAGATGCCAGTGTTGAAAGGTGTGACTGAGAATCTGTGATTTGCAAAACATTCTTGCACACATTGCGGGGACAAAAGCGAGAAGCGTACCTACGACGTAGGAATTTTGAACCCCTAACATGCCGTGATCTCTCCCATTACTGTTATCACCATCAAGGCGTAGATTGGACGTCTCCAATGTGCTTCCAGCACCAGTTCAAACCCGCACCTCTGTTATAGTCAAATGCTAGAACAGACGCTATTTTGAATAAGATTCAAAAGCTGAACGAACATAAACTTAAGGATCTCTACAAGAACATCAGACATAGGGCATGGATTTTTCCCAGTTGATGTATAAACCTTCATTTGCTAAATTGATACTGCTCTGTAGAGCATTTGTAATGCTTCCAGTGTATCTCATACTACTATGACCTGTTGCTGATCCAACCAATACCTTGAATACTGATTACTCAACTATGGCAGATAATAAATCTGAACTGGATAGCTGTTGATGCAGGGTTAACTGGATATGTGCAGGCATTCATTTAGCGAAATCAACCCCATTTATTAGCTCTAGGTCTAGGCAACGGCCTTATACATACGCAAAGTCCCCAGCGAATTTCGAGTATAACAGACTTCTGCCCCTTGCAAGAAACTGCAGATTTAGCATTCATCACAAGTCTACAAAATGCATGGAGGACTCCGTGGCACAAAAGAAATAGGTCTGTTATTAACACATTTCTTTACAACCAAAGGTTAGAGTTCACTTACCAGAAATCGCACGATACGACGGAGAATCATCTACTCCTGATGGCGGAAGCCAATATCGCATCGATGTTGAACTCTATTCTCACCCATAGCTGCCTGGCCCCATCAGAGTCCTTCATAAGTGGATTAAAGTATTAACATCTGTGAACCCCTTGTTGGGGAGGTGGGAGGCAGAGGAATCTCTAGCAGAGGCATTATCCAGATCGAATGAATTATTGTTAGCAAAATTGATTTATTCAATTACGTCTTGCATTAAACGATTTGAAGTTAAGGGTTTAGCCATCAACCCAAACCCTGTCTGTCTATTACTTTGCAAACTATGTGCAGTTTAAGAGGAATTCTCTAGGAACATTCAGCTTCTAGAGGATAGAATCTCATGATTTATTCCCTTCAGAGCTTCGAAATATTTCTACACCCAAGTGATCAACGATTCCTTCTACAGCAACATGAGGCTTACAAACTTTCACTCTAACATCCGAAATCATGGGATGTGCAGTCAAGAGCGTCCTAGCGATTGCACTCGCCACAGCTTCCACTAACTTGAAAGGCGGGCCTTCCACAATGGTTTTTATCTGCTTATACATGTCCGCATAGCTCACAGACTGCTCCATAGCATCGGTTTCCCCAGCCTTGGTGAGATCCATCCATGCGTCCACATCTACTAAGAATTTCTGCCCTAGCTTATTCTCCTCCTCGTACACCCCATGGTATCCATGAAATAACATTCCTCGCAGCATTATTCTGTCCCTGGTTTTTGGGACCTGGGTTCCCTCTTCTCGACAACAGCACGCCATGCTCAAGTCTGTGCTTGCAAAACGAATGCAAACAGACAGGGAGAGAAAACATTGAAATATACTGAAAACATGAAAGCAGACAAAGCATTGTGCAATGGTTCAAAGGATTTCTGAAACACAATGCGCAGAAAGTGAGATTCCGGCATCTGAAGATGCTGTCAATCTGTAAAGTTGAGCAGCTACCAAGAGCAATGTGCGACAGGAAGCATGACACTCCTAAATTCACGAATCCTGAAACAGGAATTGACGCCAAGAGAGAAGGAAAAAGCACTCACACAAGGCCCCAGAATCTCCAACGCAGTCGTACCGCGTACCAAGACCAATTGTGGCACGGAAACCCCAAACACCGCAGCAGCAGCAGCAGCAGACTCAGCAGATTGAGCGAAGGCAGGCAGGCAGGCAGGCAGGCAGGCAGAGGGGCAAGCTTCGCCGGGGGAGAGGAAGAGGAGCATAAGGAGAATGTGTGGCAGCCCATCAGCGGTGAGTGGAAGAAGTTCGAACCAATTATGTCATATGGATATGGTTTACACCATTTTATTGAAACCTAATTTTTTTTTTATGGGTACTTCTCAAACTTGTTTACAATCTCGTATAGTAGATTTCATTTGATCTTCATGAATTTCGTACAAGGTATCCAACAATTCTTAATAAATTTTGTAAGTCAACCAAAACCCAAACTGTGAAATAGCAATTGTGTTCTTCGATATATAGCCGTGGTAATACGTGATCATGGCAAAATACGAGACACTTCAATCGTGCAAGCATAAATCCTGAAGGATTCAAGCTACATGTGTTTTGGACGTATAATATCGACTGTTAAGGAGACTCTACGAGAAAAGAATTTAACTCAATTTTGAGGAAAGATTCTAGAGAACAGGCCTCGTCACCAAACGGCTTAGAAATTCAACAATTTGTTTTAACCAATTGCGGCGAGCAGGCTAATCTACCAAGACAGAATCAACTGCTCTACTTATATTGATTAGTTCAGCATGCGTATGTATACCCTTTTGAGGTCTGTCAATGGTATATTTGAGGTATTGATCTGGAAACAATCTGTACAGAAGTTCGTAAATGTGCTCCTAATTGTGAAACTACTGTACTACTATTTAACTAAAATCACTGAAAGGCGAACTGAATAATAAGTTCATACGTTAGTGAAATCTGCAAGAGCTAGGGTGGTTGTTAAGTTACGCTGCTGGGTTAACAATTTCGTGCAATATGATCAAGAGATCAACTCTCCGATATTGGCACTACCAGGGTCCGAAACTCAAGGAGCACAGCGCTAATACACAATCTGCGAGATGCAGAACTAATGAAGGTACCCCATAGTCACTTTGTATTGGATCTGCTCTTGCCAAGTTAAACAATCCTTCACCCAGTCACCACTGCTGCCTCTTCGTTTGAAGTCCGGCCTTTTCTTGGATCCTTTGACTTCAAATACTGCATGTACGCACGGAGAGGTAAGCGGCAAGTAGCGAACATCACTACGAAACTCTTGAACGCACAAGTAATGCATGCATTTGCAGTCAAAAAAACTCACTAAGTTGTTAGCACAGAAGGAAGTTTCCACGTGCAGGGAAAAACCAACAAGCTCGGATTCGTCGAAACACATACCCTCGTCAAGGCTGCATGAGCTGGCACCAATAAAGATGTCATCGGGATCTTGTTCAAGCTGTCTCACGAGTTGCGATAGAATATGCTCTTTCCTGTTGGAAGGTAAGAAGTAGAATAGGAAGGATAACGTAAGTCACAATGTGTCTTTAAACAATCCTCTAACCCGTGTGCTCCGTAGAGATTCAACACAATTAAATGCTCGGTAGTCAAAAAATAATGTACACACCTTGCCCATTGTGGAATCGGTTTTTGGGATCGTTTCTCTTCCTCATCAGAATCTTCATCTTCAGAATCTCGATAGGGTGAAATCTCATACGACTGCAGCCCTTTATCCCCTTGTCTAATCACACCTCCCGGAGGACCTGAAAGATTGACGAGCAAAATCATATAAATTTACGACGAGATGTTCTGAAATTATTTTCAATTCAGTAGTATTGATATTACGAGACAGAAACATCTCTGTAAACAAAGCCAGTTTGCAAACCATAGGACGAAGTACAATCCTGTATCCAGCGCCATTTAATTACCTGAAAAACCATTATGTACAGGTTTAGTTAGCTTGCTGCCTAACGCCACAGCATTGACTCCAGTTTTCGAGCCATGTTGATCTTGCGGAACATTGATGGCCCTATCTCTCAAGACTTTAGTTGATGAAACAATTCCGCCTGTAACGACAATGGAAGCCCCTGTAGGATTACCAAAAGCCTCAGGAGGTGTACGAAATAGAGGCTGCCCGGACCCCACTATCGTACTTGAAACACCATGAGCGCCCTCGGGAGTTGTACGAGGCACTCGCATTGCTGTCTGTGAGTTTCTACAAGCCCCTGCACCTTCACCACTTTGTTGAGGAACTCGTAGCGGATGCCCGATCAGGCTGTGAGAGCTAGGTCTCTGAGGGTCAACGAGGTTGTTGACACCAGAAGGTAGGGCAGCCCCTATGCCATCCCCAACGCCCATAGCAGTATGGAGTGAGGCTAAAAACGAATGATACGGACCAGCCACAGGAACTGTAGGATCTTCAGACGAGCGAAGAATCTGCAGTGCACAAGATGGAAGATGTAAGAAGTGACACATACATTAAGCTTGCCTTCTATTCAGAATTCTACGAGGAAATTGTGCTCCATTATTTTGGATGTCCAGTGGTTGGACAGAGAATTCTAGATAGGCACATATTGGAACCAAGAAATGCTGGATCAAGTCGGAATTAAAATATTATCAACTAGGAGCCGTTGCCATTTCAGAGTTCAGACAGCTGCTACACCCAGTCTTGTGGACTTTTACATACACGTACACCACGAGGATGGGTACCTTCGCAGCTTGTTGATACCCTTCAGATTCAAGTAATTTCAACTGTTTGGCAGCCTCTTCTTTCCGCTTCCGAGTGGCTTCTTTCGATTCCAACCATGCTAGCTCCCTCTCCTCCTCCTTTTTCCGCCGTTGCTCGACCTCCTTTTCTTTTTCCAATCGCTTCTGCCGCTTTATCTCCTCCTCAATAGTCTTTCGTTCCTTTTCCATCTCCTCCTGATCGATGATAAAAAATGAAAACACGGGTTATAGATGTACTTTGAATCTACGTTATGACAGGGACAAATGTCGCACCATCAGGAACATTTGCATGCATCGATTGAAATATCGTTTTTACTTTGAGAGAAATGAGACACTAGTGATCGAAGATGAGGAAAGTCTTGTGCAAAAGCCATCCTTTTCTGAAGGGATCAATACTTCACGGAGGAAATGAAGCAGAATTAAAATATATGAAGACGTAAGAGGTTGTCGATTTGTACCAGAGCTTTTTGCTTCTGTGCCTTCCTCTCTAACTCCAATCTCTGCCGCTCTTCCATCTCTCGATTCGCCTTCATGACTTCTTCGAGGCGCCTTCGCTTCTCCATCTTTTCTTTTTTCTCCGCAGCTTCATGCTTGCGTTTCCGGGCAGCGTTCTCTGCCTCCTTTTTCTTCCAATCCTCCTCTTTGCGACGCTGCTCTTCTAGAAGTCTCTCTTGCTTGTCCTGGTCCATCTTCAACTTCAGCTCATATGTTTTCTTGACCTGTCAAGACATACACTCACATGGGGTCACCACCTTACACCTCACATATCACAAATATAATGCATCGTCAGTCCATCTCAAATTCCATAGTTGATCATGTTATTTAATTTCTCATGCGCAGCAATGAAGTTACACCACTACGCCTGAATCGAATCGGAAAATTGTGCTATATGAAGATTCTAAAATCGACGGAACGAAATTAATCTGCAACTTCGAGTAATCGTGTGTAGTAAATATGAATGTTTCAGTCCAAAAGAGATTATTTTCACTCACCTTCACAAGCATATTCTGGTTACTACTCCCTTTACAAGTAGCAGAGTCTACCAAAATCGATTTAGTAGTGCCTGCAGCGACGGCTTTCCGCTTGTTAGATTCCTCGGCTCGTGCTTCTTGGTGAAGCAGCTTCTCTTGCGCAGCTTTTTCTTTTTTGGCCAACTTATCTTGTGCAGCTCTTTCCAGCTTCTCACGTTTCGCCAACTCTGCGGCCTTCTTGCGCTCCTGCTTCTCTAACTCTTTCTGTTCCGCCGCTCTTCTAGCTGCTTCAGCCGCTTCCAACGCTTTCACTTTCACATCACGTTTTCCTGAAAAAAGAGGGTTAAAGTCAGGAGGTTAAGCTTGATGTCAAAACATCAGATTACTCAAAGAAAATGATAAAGAAAATAGTAATAAATTGCGACGGTATTAATGCCGCGGAGTTCTGAATATACCAACATTGCTCAGTACTTCATGGGAACTAAATCGAAACAGTGCATAGGCGGGGAGACAAAGATACCAAACAGACAACTTCGAAAGCTGGAGCCTACCATTCGGATAAGGAGCGGCAGGTTGCTGATGCTGCACAAGCGGTATGAAAGAACGCATGCTAGACACCAAATTTGAACGAGGGAGACCTGGATTGCTTGCTAAGGAGCCAGGGACAGCATTGATCAGATTTGACGAGCACTGCGGCTCAACTCGCAACATAGAGGCAGGAGAGGAAGTCAACTTAAGCTGAGAGTGCAACACAAGCTCATTCGAGGGTTCTGAAGTGCTGTCTGGAATAAAAGTTTCCGCTTCAGGTATCACAGTCTTCTGGAATTCAAGATGAGGAAATGAAGGAACGGCTATAGAAGTCCCCAGCACGTGACAAGAATCATCTTGCCCAGATTGTTTTACAATGAAGACTGGAGAACAGGGAATCCTTGAATCTCCCTCATAAATAGCAGCGGTCACTTCAGGATCTCCAGCTTCGAAATGAACCTTTTTAGATGAGAGCGAAGTCTTACTGTGATGATTGGACGCGCATCCGGGAGAAAATCGAAGACTTTGCACAGGCGTAGGTAGGTGAGTAGGGTGGCTGATTAAAGATTCTGTCCCAAGGAGGTGGAGAACGTCCTTTGCAGTGGAGTAAGTCCCTACAACATCGTCTTTCGATTGAGCAGAGAAACGCGACATGGTTTCAGTTGAATTCTCTGCAACACCAATAGTCTTGAAACTCCAGGGATCTGGATTGTCAGTTTGGCGGGTCGAATGCTCTACAGTATCAACTGTACCTGTCGGACCCCTAGTAGATTGTTTACTCCCATTGCATGACTTCAAAATTCCATCTTTCTGACAACCTGGATGAGCGCTTGCAGAGCCAATGGCTAATGCGCCACAAACGATTGTATTTGGAAGAGCATCTGAATTACGGTGTTTATGTACTGAATCACTCAGTCTGGACATTTCCAATCCAGATTCAGAAGCCGGGACATAAACGCCTTCCTTCGACTGACTGTTATCAGTACACGACGTTGTTTGTAGTTTACCATCATCTGCAAGGGAACAGGACTTCGCACGAGCAGGGCTTTCAATGTTATCAGAAGAAATGGCTGACCCCGGCAAAATCGAATCGAGACACGGGCGTGTAACAAAATCCTGCTCCATGATCTCCTGATTTAGGTGCTTCACTGGTGGAGAATTCACTTCGATGTCATCTTGCAAAACAACGACAGGGAAAATGTTCGATGACGAAGGCAACATTGAGGGGGGAGCTGAGGAGGGTTTCGGAGTGATAAATAGCCTGAACCGATCAGGATACAAGTTTGTATGGTCATTGAACCTGGAGCCTTTGAGTGCGGGGTGTGTAGAAGCAGGTGTCGTCGGCAGTGCTCCAACTGCGTGAGCTCTCTTACTTGAAAGCTGCTCTATAATCTTCTTTGCACTCTCTATTAGAGTATGAACTTGCTGTTGATCCTCATCTTCAAGAATCCCACGGGCGCCTGCCATATCATTCTGACAGGCTTTGCTGAGCATATAAATACTCCGAAGTAAAGGCAGAGGACTCAAAGAATTCCCATTCTTCTGCACATATCACAGAACTATACTAAGACAAAATTCTAGATGAAGGTACGACGGGAATCAGCATGAAAGTAAAGCTAAACAGGTTCAAATAAACTAATACACATAGGTCAGCTAATGGCTAGTCAGAGAACAGTCATATTGGCAGCCTCATGCTGAATTAACATCATTTTTTAAACAAATCTTAAGGTCTGCTGACCTCGTTGGCTGTTTCCATAATTTCATACTCCACAGTGTTGTCGCCTACTTCTCCATCTTGAAAAGTTTGGGTGCAAACCTCGTTGCAAAGAGTGGCAATAGAACGTCTGCAGCTTTCCTCTGCCTGCGAACCGTTTTCCTGGTAGACCACGACATAAAGTTTGCAATGTTAAGAAGAGGAAAGCTGCAGAGATTCCATAGTTTTGGAACCCTTATTACAGATTCCACAAAAATATAGCTTTCCTGAATTGAAGATTCACTCTAAGTAGAAAATCATTGGTTAACCTACAGGTATTGCAGCACCAAAATTGTGAGCCAAAAAAAATCATGACAATAGGTTTGCATTGTTGAGGTACTATGATGTTCGAAGATCTTGCCAGATGTTCCACCTGGCGGGGAATTGTATCTGCTTGGTCGACAGACTTCAGAGCACCAAAACTGAAAGCTGGCTCAATTTGTTGCAAAGCTTCCTCAGGGTTTGGTGACTGTGCCTCCAGGAAGGTTTCGTACGCTACACCTTCAAGGGAACGGTCTCTGGATGAAATAGCTTTGCTTGGAGAAGCTGCGGGAGCATCAGACGACTGGCCTCTTACATAATCCACACCGTTAGTTGCAACATCAGATCTCCAACGCCGTGCCCTCGCCTTGGACCTAGGTGACAACCTCTTTCGAAACTGAAAGCGGTTCAAGGTAAGAGTGACCTCAGGATGAAACTCCTGTTCCAGGGAACATCCCATTGCCTCTTCTATGGCTCTTGCTTCAGAGTACCTAACTGGTGAGACTGCGTCAGAGTGGCCTTGTTCGCGAGCCATATTCATTGTGGATCCTGCGTCCTCAAATTCTTTTAAATCGTTCGGTTCATTCACGCGTGATCCTTCTGATGTTGTACCCATGAAGGCATCTTGCATACTCGCTCTCTTCACCTGCCAAGTCCTCTTTGCAAAGAGTACGTTTGCCTCATTACTACGTTTTTCGATGACATTGTGGTCTTCCATTCCTTCTTGTTCAGAGGCGACCACATCTTTCAGTGGATTTTCTCTTGATTCATCTCTTCCAGCCGGAGTCGGCTCTCTAGCCACACATGCAGCAGTTTGCAATTCCACATTACCGGCTGAGCCTTCTTTCCCGGCTTCAGATAGATCCAGAGAGGTAACGGAAGCGATTCTATCAACCTTGTGGGAGGACTGACGAGACCTTACCAAGGAGCTTTTCTCTTGGAAAGCCACTGGGTCACTGGATTGCTTCATGTGCGAGATGTTGTCATTCATTGTCTCTGAAAGCAGCACTTTTCTAGCTCCCATCTCGTTACTGCTGGGAGCATTAGAAAGCTGCGTGACGTCTTTACCGTGACAGAGCTCTGCTGCTTCACATGAGGCAAGACGTGCTGAAAGATGCTGGGCTTCACTGATACTTGCATGCCTATTATCCCCAATCATATCACATCGCGACTGTGACCCTCCTTTTGTTAGATCCTTGTAGACAGCATCAGGCAATATATCCCCTTCAAGAGCAGCTATACATGGGGCAATCTTTCCTGTCACCTCTCTGGCAGTTCTAGCATCAAGCAAAGTCAAAAATTCATTCCTGACTTGTCGCTCCGTTGCATCACGCATTGCGAAAGGAATAGCTGCAGACGTAAGATCAACTTCTCGTTGTCCAACACCCACTTCAATTCGCCTTAATTCCAGTTGTGATAGACTCATGTGCTGATCATTTTTCACGTGGTAGACAGCAACATTCCCAGCACTCGCACGGGCCTCGGCAATCCGAGAATCCACCCTCACACCCTCCACTTCGGTTTTCGGAACTGGAAAGACTGTGTCTTCTTGGGAAGTAATACGTGCTGAATTACTTGCATCATCCGGTTGGGTCATTCCAAGAGCAACTGGACTAATCTCAGAACCCTTGCGTGCGAATCGGGTGACCGGTTTCTGTAATCTGGATTGAGACGCTTTACTGGAACGCTGCACGTCGTTGGAAATCTTTTCTGCCGACGTGCTCACATCGACCTGATCACATTTCTCGATCTGCGGCCTTAAAACCAGTTTCGACGACCTGTCATGTTCTTCATCCTTACAATGCGACAAAGAATGGCAGGGCTTGAGCTCAGAATTTCCCACTCCCACAGGAAAATCGGCTCCTACACGAGGCAAAACAACTGCGCCACCGCCCCCTTGCAGATCTGACGCCTTACAAGCCACCTGGGAAGAGGACAACTGTTCACAAATTCCTGATTCCGATTCCACCACGCTTTCAGCCTTGCGAGCCCTAGATCGTGTAACTCGTGGGGCAATCTGCGGCACTGCTGCTCCAGAAACTGTGGACGCTTGTTTAGACCGCCCTCTCCGAACAGGTTCTTTGCTCACAACATCCGACCCAACCGCCGCCATAGCGGCTCGAGATGCTGTAGATGTACATTTAGCTGCCCGTCCCCTGCGAGAAGGGGCCTTACTAACATTCACAGGTTCAATCTCAACCTTCACTACATCCGCATCCGCGCCAAAAATTGGCATTGTCTCTCCAGTTCCCACATTGCTTTCGATCTCAGGTTCAACAGCTTTGACGACTTCTGAATCCCCAGAAGCGTTCTCCAACTGATCCTTGACCTCCACCGAGCGTTCATTGTTTATTCCTACTTTCCGGGCCCTTTTGGACTTCGAATTCTCCTCGCCAACATCCGCTATTGCAATACGATCTGCTTGCTTCTCATCTTCCACAGGGGCGTCCGGGATCTCTTCATGAGACATCTGCAATGCAATAGATTTATCCTCTCCTCCTCGTGATCTCTTCCTAATTTCGACTTCACTGGCTGAAGGGACTCGAATGTCGCAGGATCCACCTTCATCAGCTTCAATTTTGACAGACACTTGACGAGAAGTGACTTGACTGATATCTCTAACGCCATGCACAATTCTAGTGTTCAGCTCTGGATTATCGGCATCCAAGCAGTTTCGCCACGCTGATTGATAGAGAGATGGTTGACCGAGTGACTCCAATGGTTTAACCTCCATACGACCGGCGGACTTGACATCATTGTCACAAAACCTCGTATTAAGATCTCGTTTGGCAAGTCCTCTAGAATGCGGAGCTTTGGTCTTAGGGGACTCCAAAAAACCATTGCTCGGAAGAAAGCCCTGCAATCCGATAAAGTTCTCCTTATCATGGCTTGGAGTGGGCCCAGGTTGCTGACGATAACTGTCAACCTTGTGTCGCTTCTTTCTTGGTTGAACGGGTAGCATGTCAATCAAGGTAGAAGTATTGATGTGAAAGAGCTGCTTCTGCTGCTCGAACTCTGCGTCCCATTGCGTTGCCATCTGCTGCTGCCGCAGCAAAACGGTACGAAGGATTGCCTCCATCTTACAAGGCTACTGATATTATGGCATACCCTGGCCCTTCACTCACTTCTCCGTCAACTTTACATTTCACGTTAGGATCGGCCCCCCACTTCCAACCATCTGTCACCGCACCAGCTAGCCCTCAACAAAAGATCGGAAACCCTAGAGTATCCATGACAGCCGTAGAGTTGTCAATTGTGAGAAATAGAAGAAACTAAGCATTAAGGCCACTACTTGTCACCGCGCACGATAATAAGTATTGAGAAATGGCTTAATGAGCATGTTCCCAAGCTGCGCAAACGAACTACAGCCAACCAGCTAAGCATTCCCGAGTGCGCCTTGTCCCTCCACATCCAGTCCTCCTCGATCAAAAGTACTCACTAGTTCCTCGACGTAGGTAACTCAAATATAGCCCGCTCGCATAAAACAAAGGGGTTCCCCTCTTGTCGGAACTTCTGAAGCTCTCTCCGCTAATTCCCTTCGGCACATCCGAACAGTCATGTAAACCACACGTTGATAGTGACCGAGAGAAACCAAAATCTCATTCTCTAAAATATTTCTCTCCTGGTTTTGCACTTCCAAAATTCACAACACACGCAAACATCACGAGAAACAAGAACTAGCAACTCGTTAGACCTTCAGCAACGTAAAAACCATGAACATACCGGCAAGGCTCTGGAGAGAGTCGACAGACAGCGCAACTGCAATCGTTTCCGCAACGTTCCAGCGGATCATTCCTTCCCTGACTGAAGTGGCGACTCCTGAAGACCAGTTCCACGAAGAACTGGGAACACTCGGAACTGCGACAAGAACTGAAAAGCTTGGGGAAGCCCCCGCTACGACGTCGACGCAGATAATACTCGTGATCACCCACACAATTGCGGCGACGCCTTCGTACCTGCCAGTCTGCCTACCCGGCTGCGTTGAGGTAGAAATTCAAAAATGCGTCTCGGGGAGTGGGGCGGGATAGTTCTTGTCCAGAACCGAGGAACTTGGAAAGAGAGAGAGTGAGAGTGAGAGACGAGCCAGGCAGGGAGGGTGGGGGGGGGGGGGGGGGGAAGGAAGACAACACTTGGCCAAGACCCCCTATCAACCCTCGCACCCGGCCCGGGCCTGCAGTTAACGGTCTTGCTCCCATTCAAACTGGCACCGTGCCTCCCCCCTCCCCCCCTCCCTGGGTTTCAACGTTCCCTCGTTCAAAGTTCAAACCCCCCCCCCCCAATGCATTTTGAATGTTCGAACGATCGTTTGAACATTTGAACCTGAGAGTGAGGGAGAGAGAGAACGAGAGAGTAGGCCGGGTCCGGCCTTCACTCCCGCGCATCCTCCTCCTCCTCCCCCCTGCCCAACCCCGATCACACCGCAGGTGCCCTTCCTTTCGTCATTCCTCTATCTTTCTTCCTTCGTTCTTCCTTTCTTTCTTCCTTCCGTCTGCTTCTTCCCTGCTCTCTTTCTTTCTGCTTTGTTCCTTTCGCCGGGTCCTCTGTACTCTTTCCCCTGCCTTCCTTTCCTTTCGTCTTCCTTTTCCTCGGCTGATAGGCACGTGTCCCTGAGTTCCCTGGTTGTGGTCGTCGTCTGACGTGGACTGCCCTGGTGGTATGTGTATGTATGTCTGCATGCTCCCCATTTTATTTCTGGTTGCAACCAAAACCTTTATTTATATCTTCCTCTCCAACACTTTTCTTACTTACTTGCTTTTAGCAATTGCTTATTGGTTTCACAATGTCTCTTACTAACTAACTAATTAACTGGTGAAGCCAGAGAGAGAGAGCAAGAGAGAGAAAGAAAGAGTGTGTATATTTCTTTATATATAAATATATAATATGTTAAATGCTAAACACATCCAATTCTATTACTGTGTTAATGTAATCAAATCAGCCGCTTATTTCGTTTTATGTGATGAAAGTAGGCAATTTCAGATATTGTTTTTTCACTTGAGATAATGTCATCATGTTTCCAATGAATCAGGTTAAAATTGAATTTGAATGTCTCACTGCAAATTTTGCAATTAGTGTTGGACCTTTCTTATGCAAGTAATCAAAGCTGTAGTTGATATGAACATCTTTACCATTGTGAGGTGATGTAAAGTTTCAAAATTCAATGAAGTGTGGTGTTGATGCCCTCAAATGAATGAATGTTGTGTGCAGTGGGGCTTCTTCAAATGCTGTTCTTCATGGTGTGTGTGTCATACGAGACCTGCTGCTAGCTATCTCTCTCCTCTCTCTACAATGTTTGTGGACAGCGTTTCAAGGCCCTCCCCCCGTGTCCTCGCACCCATCCATCTCACATTCATCCATATTACAATTCATTAGTTCATCCCCTTCATAAATGTATTTCATACATCCATCTATTCCTTCATCCGTAGTTTCATTCACAAGAGAGAGAAAGAAGAGAGAGAGAGGGTGTTGACAGTTGCAACACCGAATTGAGACATTTTCATGGAATTTGACACAAGCACGCACCATTGAAGGGTGACACAATAGCCATCCATCCATACAAAGAATAATATAAAGAGAATGTTAAATAGACCCATGTTTTTACTAAATTGAACTACCCATCCTAATCATCATTAAACAGAAACAAATGACATCTAGATTCATTTCTTCACTATTGGATCTGCAACCAATAAAAATCAACCTCATTCATCATGATTGTCATATTCTTCATCAAAGGTGGGTCTACTTAGAAAAAGCATGAGTCTATATAACATTCCCTTGTATATAAAATAATAATACAATGCAATAGTGTGACCCCCAGAAACACCTCCCTCCACCGTCACACTGTCTTCCTTCCAACTCGTAGTATATTAAGTTCATGTTGAGGCACGACTGTTGAGCTACAAGCAGCAGCAGAAGAAGAAGTAGAAGAAGTAGTAGCTATGGCTGGAAGTGCTCCTTTCACCCCCCAAGGTATTACAAGAAAGAAAGCAAGGAGCGCAAAGTAGGGTTACGATGATAAAAATGCGAAAGAGGAGGCAGGCATTAGCAATATTCTCGAGCTGCAGCAGAGCTTTGTTTGTTCGATATTCAATTGAATCCTGCCATCGAGGGAGGCATTGTTGCTGATTATCGAGTGAAGCTCCAGATCAGATCAGCAGAGAGTCGAATGCACAAAATGGCAAATGGAGTTGGATGCATTGCAAAGCAGCTGCAAAGAGTACTACCAACTTGCATGCACAGTTTCAGTGGACACAACCTTCACTGTAGGGAATGCGTCAGGATTCGAGTATGTAAACGTTTCTTTAGGATTAAAATTAAAGTTAAGAATCAGGGTTTTTTTAACAGTAAACCTCAAAGTAAGAAAAAGTTTGGAATTTTATTAGGGTTATAACCAGGTTTCATTATAAGTCATCCAAATCTATTACAAATACTTATCTTTTACATGAATTTTAATAAAAAATTATTTTAAAACTACTTGACATTTTAAACTTTTTTATCTGATTGTATCAACTAGAAATGTTTGAAAACTTTTATATCTTTGTACACCTAATTCAGTAGTTTTATGACATAATGATTTTTAATCCTACAAAATTTGTAATTTTTTATACAAAACTATACTATCATATCTACTACAACATTGCAAAGATATTGCAAATAACAATACAAGAGTATTTACATTTATCATGTTGACTTATTTTAATTAAATAAAAAATAATTATATAAAAAATAATTATTTATTAGTAGAAACACAAATAAATCATTATAATTAATTTATTTGTATTTTGTACAATAGCCTTGTATATTTTATAATTAATTAAAAGAAATTAAATAAAGATCTAAGTACAAATAAAGCATATACCAAAAAATCATTGAAGTGAAATTAAAAGTTATCTCTTATTAATTCTTTTGAGTGTTTTTTGCCATATCTTAAATCTTGAAAAGAAAAAATTGAATAATTTCGTAACATTGAAGATTAGTTATGAATATGTACCTAAGATACACACATACACCTATACACACACACACACACACATATATATATATATATATATATATGTATATACACATAAGTAAATAAATACATGCATATTAGGTATGATTTTTTTTGATTGGCTTAAAATGCCTTATTTTGAATAGCAAATATATAATATTAAATCATATGTAAGAGAAGTTTTATTATTATTATTATTATCATTTATTTATTTATTTTAAATTTGTTTAATTTAAATAAATTTTAAATTTAGTTCACAGAAAAAAATCACAAAATAATAGTTTCTTTTATTAAAGTGCTAATTATAAATAAATTGATTATGTATACTTTTAATATAAATTTAAATACATTCACGTTTTTAAAAATATTTTTTAATGATAGAATTAATGAAATATATATATTCCTTTGAAGTGTCATAATTTGTATCATTACATTTAAGGTTATAATAAAATAATAAAAAATAATACTAATTTCAATTAGTTTAAAATGATCTTCAAAAAAAAGTAAAGATTAAATATTATACAAATTATAATTCAATTTTTTATTTCAAAATCAATAAGTTTGAGAAATTTTATTGACACCTAGAATAAAATTTGTTCGAGTTAAATTTGAATGTAAAGACTCAGGTAGTAAAAAGTATAGTATAGTAAATAATAAAATTAAAATGAGTGTGTCACTTATAAATCAAAGTGGTCTTGACTCCAAAACCTTGTAAATTAGAACTAACATGATGTTTGTGAAAAGTTTATAACTTCAGTTGAGAGAAAATATCAGCTCTTTATTTCTCATTTTCAATTTTGTTTTATCAATTTTTTGTCCACAGTATGAAGTATTTCTTTTGGAAAAGGTTGCTTATTTATTTAATTACATATTTATATTTATATGGGTTTTAGACTTCATAAAAATTATCCATGAACTCTTCTTTTCAAATTATAGTCATTATTTCAAAAAACCATAGATAATGGTAAAGAAGTTAGCTTTGCTGTTAATCAATGTGTGGCTTTTTAGACATTAATCTTACACTGATGATACTTGTCAGTTTGCTTATTTACGTAAAACAAGTTTTAATTTTTTTTTATGTTCTTGGTTATTGTTGTTTTCATTGTTATATTCTTTATTTTGAAGTTTCTCTTTCGGAAAGCAATATGTGCAACTTTAAATCTTGGGAAATTGAAACATTATCAGTATTTTATTTCGACACGTAGTTTTGCAAGTACTTAAATTGCAGGAACGTCTTGACTTTCATTTATAGTACATAAAATGTTTTCCATTTCATGATTCATTTTTTCCTAATTTTTCCTTTTCCCAAATTGCATTGATGATGAAAGTTGTACATTCTGATGTCTTACAAATGCTACTCTTATCGAACAGCGATTTATGTCGGACAGTGGAGAACGCCAAGAGCAAGCTAAATAAACCATCTTTTTGTGCAACAATACTCGAAAGAATAAGGCATACAAAAATGCTGGACTTGCTAGAAACTTTGAAGCCTGTCAATCTACTGAAATGATTTGTGTGTTGGATACTTCCTACTATCATGCAGTAGGAGGGCGTTTACAACCACAGTTCTTTCTAATCTTCATCGCACTTTGAGTTGGTTTCAAGTTCTACCTCCCAATAAAGATGTGTATGAAGTATGTCAGAGAAGGTGCCTATTGCATAGGTTTACAAATCCATGATTCATCAAAGAATGTTTGACCTAGAACCCTGGCAATATTGACAAATCAGCTATGCCTCGTGGCAAGTTGGCGACACTTGAGAGGAGTGCCAATCTGTTGTTACGCAAATCCTCCTCTTCCTGTCAGCGAGTGAATAAATTATTGATGCTTGTTAGAAGGATATTGCGATCATTTAAGTAACTGATGGTGTGCAGGACCTTAACTAGTGGATCAACAGACTAAACTACAGTATGAATGGGTTGCACCTTGCACGCATCTTCTTCAAAAATAGACCATTTGGGTCAAGATTCACAACTGCGGATAGAAGGTAAAACACGTACCGCCATGACAAAGACATTTTTGAAGAAAGCTTCCAAGGGCTCCACCAAAGCCTGAGAAGCCTCCACAAAAACATTCACATCCACCCCTGTGGAACAAACAGTTTCAAACCTTGATCAAAAGAAACTTAAGCAAGGAAGATTCCTAGTACCGTTGTCTCACAACCCCACACCAGAACTCATCTATAGTTTCATATGAAGAACCTCAACATTATCTCTGAAGAACACTTCTCACTGTTAATCAGGTACATAGAAATGCCTATGGTTAGAGAACAACCGCACACGATCATATAAATGAGTCAACTTATGGAAGAATTGGTGTTGCTACCTGTATGCAGTTTAGAAGCAGTCTGCTTGTACGCATCCCACAAGGCAATTTCCTCTGGAACAGCAAAGAGATCTTCGTTCACCTTCCATGAAGGATCAACATCCTTCCCCCGAACAATCCGCGTAGGTCTGGCGTATGCAGCTACAACTCGATCAAGAGCTTCTCCAGTCGCAAGAGTCTCCAGCTGTACGCAGCACAGAAACAGTGCATCCCAAATACTTGAGTTTTCGGTCATGAGCAACAATCATATATGTATAGTAAGGACACTACGGATAAACCTCAATCAAATTTAGAGCAGCTATATCACAAATACTTCAGGTTGACATAATTACTTCGAAAAGAATTTACGTGGAAGTAAAAGCGCGGCAAAAGGCGTCACACCTGAGACACTGATCGAGCTGCAAGAGTGGGTACTGTGCCTCGCTCAGATAATACTGATCGCACGTTCACAACGTTTGCACCTCCATCGACCTAAACGCGACATGTCCAGAAAAAGAATATCAGTCACTCTGCCAACATACATAACATTCTTCACACAATATACAAAAAACCCCGAGGGGGAAGTGATCTCCATAAACCCATGGAGGTGTAGCTCCAAAACAACGAAATAAGTTTTTTGAATATGAAAAGAATATCTGGGTGCGAAGGAGTCATAAAACTAGAGTCATACCAAGAGTTGCTCAAGCCTGCGAGCAATAAATATCAACACCTGGGCACATACGCAGCAAATGGAATATTTATCAGACTTTCCACAGAAGCTAAACATTCTAAGATCCACGACATGAACATACACTTCAGTATAGCGACCATAAACTACATGGCAGCCAAAATCAACAGAGGCTAAATGAAAAGTGTTGAACAGAAGATGAACATTAGACCTCGTCAATAACTTTGTCTGGAACAGGCAAGGGCTGCACATCTGCGGCAAATCTTAAGGCTTGAGAAAGGTCCAAGACTTTTCCATTCGCTACCAAAGTTTGTACCTACATAGAGGGAACTTAACTTAGAAACCTGCACAGATTGCACGAGCATTTAACTTCTAGAAACAATGTCACTAGGAAATCATTAATAATTTCCCATGTATACCAGTGAACTAATTATGCTCCTATTACACAACAAGTGGACGGACAGATATTATCTCCACACCACGCAGAGCCCGGAAGAAACAACTAACAAACTATTATTCCAATTAAAACTAGGGTCCTACTGCTCCACAAAATGCGCCATATTTCTGAGTAAATACCAGGCCATATGCACTCCGTCTCAAGCCGAAAGGATCTGCAGCTGCTGTAGGTTGACATCCGACAGCAAATAATCCCACTAAACTGTCAAGCCTGCACATTACAAAACGCTCCACTTCAATACATAGGCCAAACCCAACAAGGAAACATCCACAAAAGCTTTAAGTAAAATTCCAAATGCAAGTGGTACTGTTTCTATAAGTTCTGAAAGTAGGATAGTTACATAATATTTTGTGAATCCGTTACAAAAATGTACATGAAACACAACAGCAGGTACTGTCTGTGTTGAAATCAGGCTCGCACATTGAAATGTATTACCTGTCTACAACAGCTAGTAAAACCCCAGCATCAGTCTTCGCCAACGAGTCGCCCGCAGAGCGTGGAAGCGCATGCTCAAAAATGGCATCTGCTACCTGAGTCACAGTTACGAAATTACAAGCCTCAATGTTTGCATGCCCAGAAGTGACTGCATCCGAAGCTAAAGAACTCATTGAGGTTCTAAAATGGCATTCTTGTTCTACAGTTAACCAACTTTGACGCTTTGCTGTCGTCTCTCTCATTTATGTAAAGATATTTAAATCGTTCAAGTGAATAGGAATGCTGCAAAAATGTACTGACTTGCGGAGGCTGTCCCTCTCGAAGTGCATAATGTCGACCCATTATTCCAGATAGTGAGGTAAACTCCTTGACCATGGCTGTTGCCAAATCAGCTGTCGCAAGCGGTGCAGCTTGCCGAGCTATAGCGAGACTGGCCTCATCAAGACCCAAAGCTGATGCAAATGCATCCACCATAGCTTCCACCCTTTTGCTTTTGTCCAACATTGAACCAAGTTTTTCCTGTGACAGACATTATTCAGGGCACTGTAAATCGTGAAGTGTAATTAAAACAAAATAAAGACCTGCAACTTTGTCTCTAAATTACACATCACTCGATCTATTTATTGATAGATGTGCCGTCATTCAACATTGAATATTTTCTGATATAGCACAGATTTTCGAGTTCTGAACTAGATCACTCTTTCATAACTCAGTGTAAGAAATCTCTGCAGGAAAGATTGGCATCAAGTGTAGTCATTATACCTGGAAAGTTATACCCTGCAGCAGAGGTCGGTAGTCTGCAAGTGGCTTCGATGTGTCTGCTTCATAGAAGAACCTTGCATCCTCATATCGTGCCCTGGTCGATTGAGAGAGATGTAAGTGCGAAGTTTACACTGATATTAGTTATTTTGAGCCACTAAAGGAATATCAACAGATTCATCTGCACACTCTACGTGTCATAATCAACACAATAAACTGGTTCTGTGATATAATAATATCAAGCAGTAGTATTCAATAAATTATCAGTAGAAATTATGCTATTGAAGGGTGTTACAGTTCCATTCACAAGTTTACCTGAGCACAGCTTCATTGCCTTTTCTAACGACAGCCTGATCTATTTGTCCGTTAGCCACCTGCAAGAAGAACCACACCCATTGGCAACGTTGTAACAATCAGAATTAGCAACGGTAGTATCATGTTTGAAGCTGATACATTTGTGAAAAATAACAAGATTAACAAGATCAGTCATGTACTCACCGTAATGAAAGCTGGTAACAACTGTCCATTCAGCCGATCCACAACTGGAAAGTACCGCTGATGTTTTCTCATAACCTGCAAGAATATTCAAACCCTGTCAAATTTTGGATTTAAAGATGATAACGAGACAAGATAGGATGATAAAAACTCTTTTCTCCAAATATCATATTCCAAAAGATCATATCAAGCCCTCACATCAGCAGTTGTAAACTCAAAAGGTGAATGTCGTAAATTGTCAACATACAGTGGTAAGTACGTCCGATGGTAATTTCAAGAAAGATTCATTAAAGCTGCCAAGCAGTGGGTTCGGGGACTCCACAAGGTTGGCCACCTGCAGGCAATAGTCAACTTAGATGACATCAACCAAACGATCTCAGCGATCAACTTATGGACAACAATTGGAAATAAGCATAACCTGCATTAAACTCATTAACAAATGATGAAAAAGAGTGCAGAAGCATAATTGTGGACATATTTACAAAAAAAAAAAGGTACACAAGTCAAACCTCTTCGAGAAGTCCGCCTTTGAACTCATCGGGAATGAGACCATTAACGCTGGCAGCAAGTTCACTACTTTGTGCCCATATGCTATCCATCCGCTCCTGTCAAATACATACTACCAATCAATTGCTTCATATCTCCTTCATTATCGCACAACAGCCTTTAATAATTATTTGTGGTTCCTCCCATGTAAAAAGTTGGAACCCATGGCTAAGATAAGAGCTTTTATCAAAATACAAACCAAACCTTCATGCTAATAACGAGGCCTGCCTCTTTTGTTGCTTCCACGTAATCTTCTGCTTTGGCAACCTGACTCACACAAATTAACAGTCAAAATCATCGTAAGAATCAACAATAACCTCCCTGGTGGACATCAGGATAATTGTACAATACACAGTAAACAAGGTTTCTGTACCATGGTTGCTTTAAATAGTTAACAAAGTAGCTTCAAAGTAACAAATACTATTGATGAGCATTTAGAAGTGCACAACGTGCATTGTGCAGCACGCCGTGTACCTGGATGGTTGGCTGGAAGGAGTTGCGAAGCACTCTACAGGATCTCCCACTGGTTCAACATAGCCACCGTCAAACCAATAACTGAAAACGGAATAAATTATAGAGGAAGATGCATACGACTCAAGCCTAGAAAACATTAAATTGGGAGTTTGAGTTGAAGCTCAGATTTGAAGGCCTGTCGTGATAAACAAGTAAAAGAAGCTACATAGCAGAAGCTCAAAGTGACATCAATTTCGAATGGTCGAATGAACAAACACCTGCGGACGTTTGCATATGTGAAGGGCACAATAGTATCTCCATGAAGAGCCAGCAACCACCTCAGAGGCCTGCTATAAGAGGCCTGCATGTTTATTTTGCATGTTAATGAGGTATAAAAAGAGTGAAGCTGGATGATGAATTATTTTTTTATTTTTTTATTCTATCCTTTTTATGGAATATACATTGACTGGCTTTAACAACACACAACTGAAACTTTCAAAAGCATGGAAAGGATGCTATTGACTATCTGCCGACAAGCAAAAGAAAAATTAATAGTGCTTGCCTGAGAATTCCACCGCATTGTTTTGGGAAAGGACAAATTTGCAAGAAGTACTGGAATCTCTTCTGCTAAGACCTGCACGATCATCAACCCATTGGTGATTGCATAAGGTTCTGGTCAATATCATCAAATCTAAACCACTATAAAAACGAGTAAAAGAACCAGTAAAATCTTGGTGACAACCATACTGAAGTAAACGTGTACTAGGAATAATAGAAGTTAAAACAGGAGACAAACCTGAACAGATGATTTCTTTTGTTGCTTGACTATCGCAAATACGTATTCTGTCTTTCCTGGATAAATCAAAACAATTTAAATGTACTCAGGTTCAAGATGATATTGTACTATCAGCTGTCTGAGGCCCAACCACACGTACCCATGCAAAGAACATGACTCATCTAAGATCTGTACCTCTGTATCAGTAAGGAGATTAAAGTTAATACAAGTTGGATAAAAACGATGCCAAAGAGTTTGAAAAGTATCAAGTTAGAAATCTCACCATCTGTCTTCGTATACAGTTCTTCTTTTCGAACTCCATTCTTTTTGCAAAAACCCTCTGCGGCCTAAAAACATAGCAGAACATGAAGAATGATTCTACAGCACATTTAGAGGGAGCCGATTGTGATTTCATATATGAAATTGCAATTATGAAGAACGCCAAGTTGGATTAGGATGTTCAAAGCGACAAAAGTATCTCTAGTAGATTTTTTGTTAAAGAACAACATCACAATCAAACAGGTGAAACCATACCTTGGTGACATTTCCTTCAGCATCAAAGGCTTTGGCAGCTGGTGGTCCACGAACTTCTTTCTCGTTATCATCTTGCTGCGTAGCCAGTTCCTCTACCATTACCTGCAACTTTCTTCCATCAATGTCTAAAAGGCTAACGAAAGACGCATGTGGCTGAGTTAAATTAGCTAAAACAGCTTAACTCTTGGAGGCACAACGGTTCTACTTGCATTGCAGCAGATATTCTGCACATAACCCCATGGAAATGATCCTAGCATAAAAATAAATGAAAAAGAAAAAGAAAAGAATCTCCACGGTATATTAAGAAAAAATAGACTTTCAATAATGTTGAGGTGGATACCACAAGTCGGCGTGGAGTTCCTTGGACAGAGATACTACCATGCTGCAACCGCTTCTCTTTCAACAAGGAAGGAACTACCCCCTTCAACTGTCATTAAAGAGTGTCATCAGAAAATAATACGGTATGATTGAAGATAATCGGAAGAGCAACCACTCTAATCGAGAATCAGATCCCAATAAACCCTCTGACAGGTCATGACAAGAAATACATGAAAGTAGAGACATACTTGGGAAATAGCACTAGAGACATCCTGGGGTGGAAGCTCCTCCGAACCTATTTCCAAAACAAACGTGCGGGAAACATCTATCTGATATAAATAATCACAGGTTAGTGAAAATAGCACATGGATAAAACTGAAGCAAAGATAACATCCACTCCATTTGCTGAAACAATCCTTCACAAGGTATGCAAAAATATGAAAACATGAAGCGGACCTGAGAAGTTGCTTCAGGGATTATCTCTGAGCAGCGGAACTCCTCCCAAACTCCTAAAGGATACCCTAGTTTCTCCCGGCTCTCCGCCCACTTCTGGGCACACTGACGAGCTAATCTGTGCATGCTCATAAAGTTAAGATGTTAATTCCAATTGCACCGCACACCTTGTAGAAGACTCACTGCAAAAAATGAGGCTTCAAGGAACATAAATGCATCAAGCATTAACATTAACAATGAATCTATATAGCATTCACTTATGCATGTAATTAAATTGTAAAAATACTCTCAAATAATACTCAAAAAATCAAAACCATTCCTTTGATTTCTAGCTTAAAGAAAATGAAAAAGGCCTGAGTTAAGAAGCATAGTCTTACGTGCGCATGCGGCCAAAGTAGCGAGCTCGTTCTGTCACACCAATCGCCCCTCTCGCATCTAGGATGTTGAAAGCGTGTGAAGTCTTCAATACATGGTCGTAACTGTCATATCATCAACCCATGCTGAGAGGTGTTGGAAAGTCCAACCAATCCTAGAAGTTCTTATAAGAACCCTTGTAAAATGGTTGGGAGAAATAAGACACGTAAACCAAACAACTTCTGACGAAGAGCTTACGCTGGAATAGGAAGTCCTTGACTTAACAAATAGCGTGCTTCAGCATCGTACAGGTCAAACAGCTGCTGCATCCTCCCAACATCGGCATGCTCCAAATTGTATGCACTCATCTCTTTTCTGCCAACAGCAATCAATTAAGTCTGCGTAATGCTCCACTATCTATGACCTCGCAATGCTTCCATCTGCTAAATCATTAGAAATAATTTGCTCTTACACAAAGTATTCGCAAAAATGGTCGGGAACTTACTCATTCTCTAAAAACAACTCGCCGTAAGTGATCCCAGGAGCATACTGAATTTTTTTGAAGTGGTCAACACCCTGGTGAAAAATCGACAAAAATGGAGAACTCAAAAAAAACTCAGGCGACCAAATTAGTCTGTACATCCCAACATCAAACCAGCACATTGCAAAATAGCAACTGGCTCTCTCAGCAACCACACTACTTTGAAAGAAAGAAATAACCTCAATATTACGGAGAAAGATCAAACCTGGAGAGACATCAAGATTCTTTCAAGTCCATACGTGATCTCCACAGATACCGGTAACAAGGGCATACTCCCCGACTATACACCACATCCCATCACACTCATTACACAGTATATGACAGGTAATACAAATCAAGTTCCAAGGAGTTTTCAATTCCTATTGAACAAGGATATGCGATACAGTTTAGAAATAGATAACCAGATCGTGATAAATAATACGAATGCGTAGCAAGATAATTCTCGAGGTATTGAGAAAGCATGCCTGCTGAAAGTAAGTGAACTGAGTTATTTCCATCCCGTCCATCCAAACTTCCCAGCCAAGCCCCCATGCTCCAAGCACCTGTTAATGATCCCAATAGCCGCATTGTGAAAGAGGAAAGCTGATTTATAAAAGACACAACACAGGCTTCGCGTAATCCTGAAACTTCTTTCCACAGGAACACGATTAATGCCGACGTTTTAGGCAACAATGGCCACACCCCATGCATAAACCCCAAACCCAAATTACCAAGTCCATTAACTCTTGACAATAATATCTATTTTACAATGAAAGAGTGATTGAATGCTATGGGTACGCCCTTTCTGTCACAAATCCAAAACTTGCAAAAGATTCTTTCTCACGCCGTGCCGTTAACCAATAGCCCCCACGTAGAATCTGAAATTCCATTCAGATGACAAGCAATATAAAAACAAACATACCGGACTTTCCCAGTTGTCCTCTACAAATCGCACATCATGAGCCTTGGTATTGATGCCTGCCACAACGAACGCCATTTCATATCCACAAACATGTATACGAAAAATGACGACCAGTTCAATGTCAGTTCTTGATCAAGTCACCCAGTACTTGTCAATCCCAACGCGTACAGCATCCATGACTAGACTTAAGCTTCTCAAGTATTTCAACCAAACGCAAGTCACAATAAATGACCCGACCCTTGGGTACAAAGCTTAGTGACACGCTGAAACATACCCAAAGCAGACAAGCTACCCAGGTATAATTCCTGAGAATTTCCAGGATCTGGTTTTAATATGACCTGCACAACACAAGAGAATTCTCCTTTAAGAATTCGTCTTCAATCACAACACAGTTCTTCATGTGTTAAGATGGATATGAAACACAGATTATAGCCTGTAACATAGCGACGAGGTCTATGTGGATGAGACCTGAAATTGTGTATGGCGCTGCACCCTGTTGGGATTATCTCCATACCTACTGTCATCTGGTCTAACACTAGGCTCCACATATCTGAAACATTCGAACATTTCGCAGCTACAATAAGCATATTCCGTTTCGAAATCCAGAATAAACTCCCCGTATCAAGACCCACACACAAATCAGGCGTAGAAACTTAACCCAGAAAACAACAGCAAATGATACTTCAAGGGCTGCGATGAAAGCAAAGGTTAAGAGGAGGTTACATACGCAACATTCCATGGCTCTGGGCCAAGTACGCGCAAGAAGGTTGCCGGATTCATGGTTCCGGCTCCCACCTGCAATCAAACCCAGATGATTTCTATGGCTTACAAAATAGCACAGCCATTGACAATCTAGACATATCTCACTACACAAAGGCAAGCATATTCCAAACACTACAGTGGAAGAGGTCAGAGAGAAAATCCCTTCTACTCTCCGATGGGTCTGGTATGCTATAGCATGGCTTACTGCATTACACAACATTGCTCGTACAGATACTTGAGGGACTTTTGAGTATGATTAACGTGTCTAGGACAGGACAGCAATAGTAGGATAAGATCACATGATGAGTTATTAGAGTAAAGTACAGAATTCCTGATCTTGTAGAAACAATAACTTTCAAAAGATATGATAGGATCAGGCTACCTCAGTGTTGCTGGACTGCATCACAACGCATCCCACAGATGCCCAGTATTCCTGCCGCCGCCCAAATGGATGCTGGAGTTAGTTCAAATTCAAATCCAACATAACTAGCAGAGCCCATTTGAATGCTAACAAGCGAGTCAAAAATTCAAGTAGCAAGAGAAAAAATACTATCATTTTCGTGTAAAGATGCAAATCATGATATGACGTTGGTACGCCTCGACTAGGTGAACATGGTATGCAAACTTTTTGAGTTCGATTGTATGTAAGAAACCATCAAAAGAATGGACGTGTCCTCAGATTCTACTTGCTACTAGAAATTCAATCCCATTCTCCCTTCAGCAATGTCTGCATTGTGCCGCAACTGCGCATTTGGAAGTAAACCTCACTCGCGATAAAATAACGGTCCAAGGTCAAATTTGCTGAATTTCTCTAAAAAACGATAGCACTATCCTGACACAACCACAATCCCCAGAACTACACCTGCAAGCGCTGAATTGCCTGCTGGAACGAAGGCGCGGTGCTCGGTGAACCTGACGACCTAGCTAAGGCGGCATCCTCCGAATTATCTACTTGCACCGCCGTCTCGGCCTGGACGGAGGCTCTCGCGCACTGCACAAATTTTCGTTGCTGCTCAGAAGAGGCACGCTTTCCAGGCAACGTTACGCCACTAACGGAGCGCAACCTCAAATGCCTCCCAACAAGAATGCTGCCAGGAAGACTCAAAGTACTCCGACACCGAAGACTCCTGCTGCTCAAACACGGCGACGCGAGAAAGATGCGCAGATTGGAGGGCGCCATGAGAAGGCGGGTGTGCGTTGCTGCCGCCATCATCCCCATCGCGATAGAAAGCAGCACATCAATGCTGCTGCGCAAATCGCCCCCTTCCCCCTTTCCTCCCTCCCTCACACTCTCTCACTCGCTCTCTGGACGTTCAGCCTTCAAAGCCCACGCCCCTCGCCCCTCCTCGCTCGCGAGCAGGATAGGCTGGATAGCAGCAGGGCCTGTGTGGTGGCTTCTTTATGGATGACTCTCATCCCCTCCTTGGATGACATCACTCTTTCTGGTCGTTGTGTTCTTTGACTTGGCAGAGCAGTTTTGTCAGTTTCCAAGGCCTCTTCTGATGAAGGATGAAGCGAACTCTTAGGCTGAGTTTGTTCCTGACGTTCCAACCGGTTTAACAATATACTCGGTGACTCTTGCCGATTGTCATGACCTATCTCCATTGAGCTGAAGTTTCAATTGTTCAAGATAGAGGCCAGAGTTTCTAACAGAAGTTCAAGAAGAGCCTCCGCTGCAGGAGGTATTAGAATAATAGAATTGGCTATGGATTGGTTTTAGATTCAACGAAACCTCGCAGCTGCTGTGGCAGGAATCAAAGGTTTACTGTTCGAGGCAAGGCGAGTGCAAATTGCACAAAATCAGCAACAATTTCCCCACACGCTTCTCTGGACTACGTCACAATAACCCTGAGTGTATCTTTCGCTGAACCTAATATTCATTCACTCTCTCGGCTTTAGAGCTTCATTGACAGATTGGTCCAATTGTTGCCTGCATATTTTAGAAGGTATTTGTCCTCGTTTTTTCAGTCCTACTTGAATTGATAACTGACATGGTCCAGCGTTTTATTTCGTGCAATAACCTGCGTGGCGTGGGGAAAATACTCTCTTATGCGGTAGTTCATCTTAATACAGATTGGTTGCAAGCTGCCAGTGAAACAAAGGATTGCAAGGAGAGGGCATCGTGCAATGCTTGGATTCTGAACAGAAGTAATTGAATCTTAAATGCGAGGTGGCCACAACTTGCAAAACGATAACAGTAGCTGCAGTTGGGTGCTTGATAAGCTTATGCTCTTAGAAGGGAATCCTGGCCACAGAATAGACTGTTCTCAGAAACATCATCCTAAATGTGATCCGAGTTAAAAGCCAAACGCTGTAACATACTGAAATGTTGAGTACGCTATAAAAGCGGCAGCAAGAACTAAGCCGGCGGCAGCGGGGAAAGAGAGGCAAGATATTTGTTCTTGTAGCTACGTTATGGTACAGAGTTTAGTTAACGAAGAAACCAAGTTGTAGGGTTAGACAATAAACCTAGCGAGTCACGGTAAATGTTGATACGAAACCAGTGTATACAACTCAACACATAATATACCAAATTTATCTTATAAAGAGAAAGTTCCTCCACATTTGGTTGCTTTCATCAACGACATACTGAATGTTTTTAAAGGTCATCTTAAAACGACACCATGGAAAGTGGCAAATAAGGGGATTTAAGGTTGTGCTTTGGATTTTGCTCGATGCCTTCAAACCTCCACTGTACTACTCAAGCAGTCTCCATCCCGGTCAAATGGCTTTACTGCTCTCTGAATCAGCTCTGTTGGCAACGAATGATGTGGACAAGAACGAAGCAAACCACATTGCAACAACGGACTCGAATAAATATGATAAGTTGTGTTCTACCACGCATTGTCAGCTAATTTTGATATGAAGTGTACTGAATTCAAAACAATGGATTAACAAGCATATCCCTGCAGGTGCCTGGAAAACTTGTAGCCATGCACGACTCTGGAATCAAAATCTACGAAAACCATGATATCTACCCACATTTGCTATTATATGGACTGAGAGGAAGAGAGGAAGAGTGAAAGAAAATAAAGAACTGCAAATTTAGAAGCGATGAAGCACCACGCCGAAGTTCACAGCTGCACTTTCTCAAACGGGGCTTGCATCTTCAAAGTCAAAAGTTAGTCTGGAAGTTGCGTCAACTGCATTTAACGCACACCTTATCTTACCACTTGGTGATCCGAATGTTGATTACAACATGGTTGCCAGTCATGTAGAACACGATCAACCTGGCAAAAAACCGATGCAAAGACGGCCCAAAGGCAAGGCCTAAGCTGACATAATTTAATCTTGAGATAAAGCACCAAGTCTTCATAGATATTCAGAAAATCAGCACTAATCAAAACATGGCATCCTTTCAATTGCAGTGCTCACCTTTGTAATTGCCTAATTGACATTGAGACACCAACAAATTTGCGGTAGTTACTGATGTTTTACAAGCATGCACAACAAAGCTTTTGAGACCTCGATATCAGTGCCTACCCACAAGAAGTGAGTTGATGCCTGGAACAGGACAATCGTATATGTTCCAAAACATGACAGGGCTCAATAATGGAGGGAATTGCTCTGGAGCTACTCGGGCACGTGCCTGGTATGGGGCTTCACAGAACTATTACGATAGACAACTAAGCTCTCGCGGCGAAAAACTTCTATACAGAAGGCAATGTGGGTATTGAAGATGAATCTTGGTGGTTTCGTTATATTTTCAAAACTTTGCGGAAGTGTTTCATCAACTGCCTTTTCTTTAAATAGGACATGTATGAGCGAAATTGGCAACGCCGTCAAAGCCATTCGTTAGAGGCAGAGGCATTCTCAACTTCTAGCTAATAACGAACCAAGGAATAATGCTCCAAGGAATAACAAAAGCAGACTAATATGCCAAGAGCGACATTTGTTACTCGTCTCCGGTAAGAGGACGACAACTAAGAAAACTTGCAACATCCGCTGCCAAGAAAATCTCTAAAATAATCTCAATACCTTTAAGTCGAACATCTGCCTTTATATAATCTTCCGCTCCTACTGAGTGAGGCCCCGGCACAGTCCATGTTGCGTTCACTCCGAAATATACAAATCAAAGTTCGCAGGTATTGACTGGAAGAGAGTCTTACTGGCTTCCAAGATAGACTGTGATGCCATAATCCTCAAAAGAAATTCATGCTGCATCAGAAGGCGCCACTGATTCAATTGTGTCACCGTTCATTACGAGCACACCATTCACAGGAAAACATCGAAAGAATAACAAATTATATTTTTAAAAATGAGATGCCTCCAGAGCTAAATAATTAATATTAGGTCAAATCAGAGTCATCCACTTTATCTGCCCTTAATGTCATCTTCTGCACGTAACCTGCAAAACAAGGACAGAGCTTCTTTCAGGTAATGTTCCTTGCCGTCCTCATTCAGAGGGAAGAAAAAACACCTCAAAACACATGCGTTTACCTTGCACATGGGTGTCATCTATTTCTCTATGTGATGCTTGATGAACTGCAGGACAAGGGTTTAGGGCTTTGGCAAGGTCTTCAAATCACCAACTTCGTTCTTAGGCACGTGTCAGAAACACGACTGACAACTTGGATGTGCCCAGTTTAAATGAATGGCAGAAAAAGAAAAAAAGAAGAAGAAAAAAAAAGAGAAGGGTGACAGTGAGGTACCTATGCCTAAACAAGCAATACACTTGCTTATTACTTCTTTGCCTCGTTTCCTGTAAAAGCTCACTTCCCCTGTGCCTTGGCATCTGGAACACTTAGCCGTCCACTGGTACACGGGATCCTTACAATACTGGAATTCAAACACACATGTGGCTTGGATCAAATTTCACCAGTTCGAGACCCACATTCCAAAATGCGGAAAAATCCCCCACTCTATCCTCTGGAGCAGGAACGCATGCTAATTCTAGCGAGCACGTCAAGACTGTCCGCTGGGAAGACAAATGAAGGTCTAGGCAGCAGGAAACTTGAGAGCAAGAAGAGCAAACTAACCTCTAATTCGGGGTCGCAATTCATCATGGCGTCTATCTCTTTCTGGGTGGCAGGCTTGGTCCCTGGATAAGACATGGGAAGAGATAGCGGCGAGTCGCCACTTAGCGCACTTTCGTTGTTTCTATACCACTTCTCTTTCGCCCCAGCTTTCACTTCTCCCGCTATTTCTCCTTGCCCTCCTGGTCGCGATGTAGAGGGCCACTGAAAGTCGGATAAATCTGGCTGATTCGGAAAGGCGGGATCCAAAGCGGCGATCAATCGGAACGTCCTCCCCTGCTTTCTCCATCTACTCCTAGCTAATTGCAATGGTACATGACTATTCAAAGGCGTCCCCGCGCTAACAAGTGATAACGCGTGTCCTGTTTCCAACACATGGTGTCTTACAGCAACGCCATACATTTGTTTAAAATCTTCGAAAAAAAAATACCTTACAGTTTCTGAGCGCACCAGCTCCACTTCCTGTCCACTCAATCTCCTTCAACAACGTCAATGATGAGCGTCTCCACCGTCAAAAAACCAACAGAGAGATCCTTTGCCCTCGTCTCTGTCCCTTTCACTTCTTCTCTATCCACTCCTCCCAATTCCTCTCCCACCCTCCCCGCACCTGGCCTGTTGTTGGGTTCAGTTACCTCACCCTGCAGTTCGAAAGAAGGATTGGAGAAGAGAGGGAATTCCAGTTGTGTAGGAGCAGAAGTGACTTATCTCTCCCAGTCGGAGGCAGCAGAGAAGACCGGTGTCGACCTTGAAAGGGGGGTGCGAGGGAAAGCAGGACACATCGCGGACGGACATGGATTGATTCAGCGCCCCCACGTGGACGACAGCAGCATTGAAGCAGAGTCCCCGAGGGCAAAGAGACTCACATAAAACCGCAACGGAATCGTAGATGAAAGTATAAGGGGGCGATGGCGATGATCGCACCAGGGCTGCACCACCCCCAGCACCGGCACGAAGCAGTGGCACCACGACGAACAACAACGGCGCACTCCCACACCCTTCCTTTTCCTTTTTCCTTTCATCGTGCCAATCCTTTATATTCCCTCCATCCCTGTCCATGATACGAACACATGTCTTCCTATGTCCTTACTTCCTTCCTCCATCTATTCATCCATCCATCCATACATCCATCGTCGAGGGACCAGCAACTGCAGAGGAAGGAGTGTTCCGGCTCACCTCCCCCCTTTCCCTTTTCATGAACCCCCATTTCCCTGAAATCACACGCTCTATTCATTCATGACTTATCTACTTATTCGTTCTTTTTTTCCATTTGAACTCCTTGCCTCTGATACACACACAGAACTCTTTACTATTCTAATGAGGAAAAAAATCAAATCTAATAAAATCAAATGTTTGATGAATGTCTACAGTGTGAAAGACTATTATGTTTTATTTCAGAACTTTATAAGATTTCAAGCTCTTCATACTTGCTATAATTTTGACCATGGACCAATTCTGAATGACTTCTGATGCCCTTGACAATGAAAACATGTGTGTACATATGAGAGTGTATTGGTGAATGTATGTAAAGCACCCTGAAAATTGTTTAAGGAACAAAAAATTTCATTGAAGCTCCTAAAGACTTTTGCACCATTCTTTACGTATTAAAGTATTACATAGTAAATTTTTATATAATAATATTTTAGATAATTTGACCACAACTTTATTCTAATTGCACTCTATTTGTTGAGCCGTAATTTTTTTTATTTTAATTTAAAGTAATTTTTTTACAGCAACATTAAAAACATTAAAGAATGAAAATAACAGTTATACATATATATATATATATATATGATATTAATAAAATCACCACAATTTTTGCCATTGTGATCACAATTTTGTCATCCACCACATAGCATCTCTCTTTTTACGACTAATATTGTCACTTATTCTTATAATTTTTTTACATATTTCTTAAAAATTAAACTAGTTTTTATTTCAACCCTAAATATATATAGGAAATATTAACATTTTTTTATTGAAAAAAAAATATTATGTCAAATAAGTGGCATGTTGTGGTGAAGTTAGCAACACCTTTTAAGTATATGTTATGATAGTAATTAAAAAAGAAGTAAGTGTGTAAGATTTATTTTATAAATATGTACCATACTTTTTTTAAAAAAAATAAAAAACTCTCTCTCACATATGTGGATGATTATAAATATATAAAATATATTTGAAAAAAATATGTGTTGTTCTCATTGTGTTCAAGCTTCAGTATACCAAAGTAATTGAACTAATAGAAGTGGGTTCGAACATGAGGAAAGACTGGTTATATGAATTGGATCTGTTAGTGTCACAATTGACTGTACTCTGGCTATCTAAAATCAATTATCAAACTACAAAACACCAAGGCTTACTACTTCCGTCTTGATTCAATACATAATCTATTCTACGACTATCAATTCAACAATACTTCTCTCAATCACAATTCTTTATAAGCAAATAATAAAAGTAAAGAAAACAAAGAGGTAGCACCAAGTTTATCCTGACATACGAGTCTCACAATCTGGTCCTTGGCTTACAACTCTCATAGTCTGGCTCTCGGCTTACGACCCTCACAGTCAGGTTCTGATCTCTCTTTCCTCAACCTATTTATCCTACCAAAAAGATGATCCGTCAGCCAGCGGATTGCAAAGGTTATGATCCTTTGAATTCTTAACCATTTGTTCTACTAACATCCTACTGTTACCAACTAAACTACCTAATCATAAGTCTGATTCTCAAGGTTATCAATAACCAATCAGTAACTTATCACAAAGTTTATTTATCTATTCTACATAGCCACACTCCTAATTGTACAGCGTCCTCGCAAACACACAATTGTTACCTTTCTAAAAACTACTTAATAAAATTCTACAAAGGTACTATTTCCTTTGGCCCACCCAATTGATCATTTGCTGTATTATCGAATGTGCATTCCACCGAATCTGGTTCCAATTGCAAATCTTCTTCTTCTTCTTCCAGTCCGTCCATCGACTCCTTCTTCAATTTATTTGAGAGATCTTCATTATATTCTCCCAATTCATGAACTTGAGCTTTCAATTTCAAGATCTGGACATCTCAAAGTTTCAATTGTTGCTGCTACTCACTCATCAATTTTGGAACATCTTCAATTGACACTTGTGACTGACTCTTCATTATTAACTCTTAACTGGAACTACTACTCTCAAAAATACAAGAAATACAAGAAAATGGTACTCCAGCCAACTCAAAATAATACCATAGAATGACTTTAACTGGTGTCCCACTCCTATTCTTTTAATATCTGATAATAATGACAACATATTATCCATACTGTCCGTGAAAGGTAATGGGAAGTAATCTTTCTTGGTGGCCACATTAAGTTTCCAGAAATCTTGATAAATTTGGATTTTTCCGTTCTTTTTTGATACCATCATGATTGAAAAAATCCACTCACTATCAATACCGGGTAAATAAAACCAACCTGCAAGAAGCTTGTCCAATTACTCCTTTATTATGATGGAATATTTAGGATTAAGGCGATGTTACCTCTGTCATACTAGTGTAGCGTTCTCTTCTAATATAATTCGATGCTCACAAACTTCAGTTGGAATTCCTTTCAAATCCGTATACAACCATGTGAAAGTAGTTTTATGCATTAAAAAGTAATCCATCCAAATTTCTTTCTCTTTGCCTTTTATACCATTGTAAATTTGAATGATTTGGGCAGCCTCCCCTGTACCTAAATTAATTGGTTGATATCGTGGAATTTCAGGAGTCTTTGAAATAATGTTCTGTTCAATTTCAGAATCTTTCATAAAATTTGACAAATTAGAACTTTTCAACTCTAGTTCCATAGTACTAACGTAATTGACATCCTATCTATTCATCCAATATCTAATCATATGATCAAAATTGTCAATAACATCTGGAAGAACTAAGTACTCTCTTGGTCTCCTATACTGGTATTTCATTCTAGTGTGCTTGACAACTTACCTTGTATCAGCATAAATTGGGTCTGGTGTACCAATTTCTTCTTCTGTAGATTCATCTTCACAATCCGACATGAATTTTGAACTTACAACTTGAGTTTCTCTGTGATATTGGACAAGGTACATTTGAAGCACAATTTTATCATTACCTTTCCCACTTGTCAATGTACTATGATCCCAATCATTTCGAACTTTAGTTTGATACAACCATGGTCGCCCCAATAAAATTGGGTATGACAATATAGAGCTTCGCAATCGGAAAACAATATAATTAATTTTGTAGGTAATCCCCACAATTACTGTATCAATACTCTGTAAAATATCCATAGGTTTAACTCGATTGGAGTCAGCCATTCTCAAAACTACTGTAGTAGGCAATAAGTGATCCAAACCCAGCTCTTCCATTGTAGCAACATTCATAAGATTTACACTAGATCCTCCATCTACTTGCACTTCCGATAATAACACTCCATCAATTGACACATCAATCGTTATTGCATCCAAATCGAGATTCAAACTTATTTCTCCGAATTCATTATTTCGAGATTTGCAATGAATTAATGAGAAATTCAAGATAGTTAAGTACTTAGGTGCTACCACCAATAGTTGCTTCATAGAGATTGTGGACTGTATGGTATCCAAATCTTTTAGAATATCATATGGTTATGTATTAGTGGTAATTTCTAATGTCCGTTTCTTCTTCCCAGTCTTAGACACCGATGTAAGTAAATTGATTTTCTCTATATTGGAAATTCATAAAGTTATTGGAACTGAATTTGACGAAGCTTCTAAAATTGGTTCTTTCAATGGATAAGACTCTTTTTCCGATTGGACTAATATTGGTTCCTTAGAATTTACGCCTCTTAGAGGATCTTTTAATGGAAAGGACATTTTCTGAAACTTTGTAGAGAATGGAATAGCTTGACATAGAATCGAAGCCTCTATAATTGATACCTCATTGGAGTGTATAACTGATTTAGGTATTATACTGAGTAAGGGGCCCATGTCAAGACCTGGATTGGATGGCTGTGTAATTGGGTCCAATTGACCCTTTGCTTTAGGATCACCCAAATATTGAATTGGTCCTTTCCCTTTTTTTTGACTTCATGTAAAGATAGCTTGGACTACTTCTACCAGATGAACTAGTGAATCTTGAGGACCTTGATTTATCTCGTCTATTTTTCCTTGGATTTGGATCTGCTGATCTCGATTATTGAAATTAAACAGAGCATTACATTGGTGATAAATATGTCCTGACTGCTTGTAATTCGTACACACTAGCACATAATCATCACTGGCTCTGAGATTGGAACATTCATTGGCATAATGACCAATCTGTCTGCAACAAAAACAATGAAGTGGTCTTCTTGTACCTCCATTTGGCATATTGAGTGTCTCCACTAGTATATACCTACTAGACTTGTTCCATGTAGGATTAGAAAATGATCCTGGTTGTCCCATTGGTACGGAGGATACTTGATTTGATGACGCCGATGGATCATATTGCTGATACCTCTACTACTCCTTCCCGTAGTTCTGGAGGTTTGATGCAGACCTCTGATTAAAATTGGAACTTTGAAAATTATTGAATGTTTAATTTTGTCAATTAGATCGATTTCTATTCCATCCATACATATTTCTTGTTTAAATTTGATTGACTTCCCACTGAGTCGGTGGAATCATGGTTTGATTATTGAATTGTTGTTGCCTTTGTAAATGCGAGCAGTTTTGGATAGGGTGCTTTCTTCCACAAAATGTACATTGAACATTCGTTTGTCTAGGTGATGGATATTTCGTATCAAAATGACCTTGTTTCTTACAATTATTATACCATACATTAGGTCTCGTATTAGAAGGTTTATGTCATTTTTCCTTATCATTAGCCAAATTCATGGCCAATTCTTCCATCTTTTTTGTTAGATTTAATAACAAGGCTTCATTTGGATCTTTAATAGTCACATTTGTGAACAACTCCAATTGTTGATAGATTGGCAATGTA